TGAGTACTTTAGAGAGGTCCCTAACAGCAGACTTTCCCATCGTGATACACTTTTTTGTTTCCTGACTGCTGGTGCCAAGAGTGTTGACTGTAGTACGTACACATATAAAATCTTTTAGTAATATCTGCAAAATAACTGTAAGAGTATCCTATCCTTGCCATTTACATCTTTGATCACAGGATGGCTTAATTTAGACTGTTGGATTGTCCACATCTAAAATAGCAAACACATCATGGGGATGCTGCTAATACATAAAAGATGATAACAATTGAACAGGAATGTAAAATGCATCTGTTAGTTGTATTGCCTAAGACATTTCCTCATAAGTTCTTTTAACCTGAAGTAATTTATCCAAAAATGGCCAAATAATGTGTAAGCTCAGTACGATTCTATACTTACATCTTGAATTTTCAGAGTTACATTATTTAGAAGAGTTTGCAGTTTTCTTTTATTTAGCCTGATTCTCTTTTGACTACTATATGCAAATATTCATTCAAATTAATAACTAATCAGACTATGTGACACTCAGTCTACTACTATGAAAAAGCTCCTTTGTTAGACTAAGGTGCACTTGATTCAATCCATGAAATTTGGACAATGAATAATGATGATGGAAGAATAAAAGCCTTTTTATTGTGGTATTGGAGATGAGTACTAAATATCCCATGGACTGTCAAAAAGTCAAACATATGTCTTAGAGACAGTGGAACCAGAGTACTCTTTAGAGGCAAGACTGGAAAAACTTTGTCTCATGTACTTAGTTGTGTATGTTGTTATGAGGGGGTCAACCCTTGGAAAGGGACATCTTGCTTGGTAAGGTGGAAGGTCACTGAAAGAGAGGACTCCAACGAAATGGACTGACACAGTGACTGTAACAATGACTCAAGTACATCAGAAATAATGAGGATGGCATAAGACAGGACACAATACAGAGCTGCTATTCATAGGATCATTACAGGTCATTTGCGACTGACCTAACAACAAGAACAACAGCAACAGCCCTTGTTAGTAGACCCTTTACTCATCATCCGTATTAATCAGGAGATCAAAATGCTTCCACCAAGAACCCATTGGGAAATCTATTTTGTGATTCTCAAGGTCTGTTCTCATTGTTTTAGAATCCAAAGGTCATTCTTCTCTAGAAGCACAAATTTGCCACCAGCTCTACCTAAGAAAGAGGGGCAGTCACCTCTGAGAATTATAATCACGGTAACTCAGTGAAGGGTTACCTATAATTTCTAACTCTACAGCAACAAATTTGAATCGTTGTTGTTGCAGTTATGTGCCGTCGAGTCGCTTGCGACTTATAGTGACGCTATGTACAACAGCCCTAAACTCTGCTCTGTCCTGTGCCAATCTCACTGTCTCCGATACACCCATCCCGATTACCCCAGTCACTGAATCAATTCACCTCATAAAAGGTCTTCCCCTCCTGTGCTGTCCCTCCACCCTACCAAGCATGATGTCCCTCTCCAAGGACCAGTCCCTGCTTACAACATGTCCAAAGTATGTTAGACGGAGCCCCAGAATCCTTGCCTCTAAGGAGCCACCCGGTTTGACCATTTCCAGGATGAATCTGTTTGTTTTCTTAGCAGTCCATGGTACCCTCAATGCTCTTCTCCAGCACCACAGCTCAAAGGCATCAATTCCCCTTCTATCCTCCTTAGTCATTGTCCAACTCTCTGATGCATAAAAACTGATAGCAAAAACCATGGCCTGTATCAGATGCACCTTAGTCTCC